TTTCTTTTGAATTTGTTTATTTTATATATATTTTTTCCTTTAAATAATTATATTACGAATTAAATATGTATTTAAATATTAAATAATTTCTTTATATGTCGCTATGGACACTGCCACTTCTTTATATATATATATTTTTTTCTTTTGAATTTGTTTATTTTATATATTTTTTTAGATATTTATATTACGAATTAAATATGTATTTAAATATTTAATAATTTCTTTATATGTTAATTAAAAAATATTAAACAAAAAATGCGTAATTAAAAAAATGAAAAAAAAATTAAAAGCAGTGTCGCTATGGCCCATGGCGACACCGTGTCGCTATAGGCCATAGCGTCACTTTTACAAATTAATTTTTTTAAAATTATTTACTTATAGTAAAATTATTTTTTTTATATTAAATATTTGACGTTGTAGGCTATAACGACTTTAGTGGAGCTGTTTTGTGTCACTATAGGCTGTAGCGACATTATCAATATGGCTTTCATGGCTTCGCTGGAGTTACAAAATTGCCACGTGTCATAGATATCGCTATGGGCTCTAAAATGTTTCAAAACAACCCTATTTTAATAAATAGTTTGTAAAAGTGCTCTAAAATGGTCGTTTAACCACTATAATCGGCTCTTTGGAGATATTCAAGTATATTGTTTCTCGTAATTTCTTCCTTGCATCATTTTCAGCAACCACGGGATGAGAACTGTTGACAATATTTCAAGTTTAGATCGATGTTCCAGATATGCTGTTCCGTGACAAGAATCTTTGACCTAGACAAGGTTGACGAGTGAGAAATCCTTTTAGATGAAGCCAAGGGACACCATACTTGGAAATTGGAATCCCTACCACAGTAGGAAATCAATCAGAGGGAAAAAATAATAACTTAAATATATGCTGATTAAACGCCATATTTTGAGGGAACCATAAAGAGTAACTTGATTTTGCTCTTGTTAAAAAAAAAAACTTCATTTTGCTATTACAAGACAATTTTAGTTTTAAGGCCAGAAATATCCCACTTTATTCTTCTACCTATTTTTTTTTTCATCTAAAATTATTGATCTCCAAATACTACATTAAACATTTAGGCAGTATTTAAAGAGAAAATATGTCACGTACATTTAATAACAAAATATCATAGATTAATATATACGGTAAATTTGTTTTACTTTTATAATAACTACTCTAACAATCAAATCAACCATCTTTTTTAGTTAATTAAACGGTAACAATATCACTTTTCTGTATTTGCAACATATTGGGCTAGCTATATGGAAAGGTGGTTGTGGGTGCAAAAACTTTGTGAGGAAAATAGCGTTGTGTTAGTTAATATGTAGGATTGTTGGACTATTTTATTACATGATTTGAAAATAATATATTAATTCCTAACTAGGAGGCACTGCCACCTTTACTGGAATTAATATATATTCTCCTTTATATGATTTCTTGAGTTTAATACTTATATTTGACTTTTTATGTTTTATGTGTTACGAATGTGAATCTTCTACCTTATGATATTTGAAACAAGTGTTTATACATGAAAGATGTTATTAAATTATGGAAGATTTTATTTACTTAAAAGAAAGAAAGAAAAATATTTTGTTTAAATTTATTGTGCATTAATGATGGAGTAGAGGGTGTCACAACACACATTTGCGTAAGGATCTTAGCTTGTTAATTTGTGAAGTTCATGCAACTGAAGTTCCAAGCTTGGTTATTTAATTGCTTAAACCATCAAAAACAAACATGAAAAAGGATATTACGTTAACATAAGAAGATGCTCTTGTTGCAAACTTGCAATAATTTGCCTTTGAAGCCTTGTAAAGCTCCACAATGAATACTGCGCTTGATGCCTTGGCACTCCATACTCTTTAACATTTTTCATAGTTAGGATATACCATTTTGTAAAATTCATTTTGCAGTGGTTAAAAATTGTCAACACATACTATATATATATATATTTTTTTAAAAAAACTACAAATATAAATTTTGAGAGTTTTAAATTAACAAATATTATATTTTTAATCGTCACAATTAATATTTCAACAAATTTGTCATATATGTATGGTTACTTATAGAATTAATAAGCAATGATTATTTTTTACATATTTTCAAAAAATAGAAAATTAAATTAATTAATTTTAGGGAACATAAACTAAGACCAAACTGAAAAAAAAAAGGATTATATGGATGACAATTACACGCTATAGCCGTTAGCGAATTGCAATTTCCTTGAGAATTATGGATGTCTTAATTATTGGTGATAAATACAAGGTTTATGTTCCAATAAATAAATAAAAGGCTTATGTTTATATGGGTGTGGTTGAATTTGTGTGTTTTTTAAAATTTAAACACACTATTTAGCCTATTAATATTTATTTTAAAATAGATAAATAATATTTATTTTAAGAATTTATATATATATATATATATATATATATATATATATTTAAAATGTTACATGTTAACATAGTATTACAAAAGATTATGTGTTACGTGAAATAATTACTTAAACTTACATTAAAGACATAAATAGTTAACAAAAATCACATGATAATGAGATTGTCGTTTTGTGAATTTAGAATGATCGATATAATTGATAAGGACTTTTATATATAAATATTTTCAAATTTAAAT